TCATCACCTGCCCCCATCATCTCATCTTACCGCTCTCTGACTATCCTAGGATTAAATCTGCATTCAACTTGTTCGCCCCCTTCGACAATTTCACAACAGAGGTAATGTCGACTTACCAACTAAGTTGTAGCCCAAACTTTGTGGCAGTAAACCTGTTTGCGGAACGATGATACATAGAGAACATAGAGAAGACATTTCCCTTTATCCTTACATTACAAGTAATGTGGTCAGCATTCAATATGACCTTGAAGGCTAATTGTTTTGATTGTCCATCTTGGCTTTCGACCACTCGTTATTGGCCATTGCAGTTTCTTCGTCATGTCCATGCACATTGTTAGAATACAAGATTTTGAGTTTTTGTATGTTTCTGCATCACATTGCTAGAACAGAATATTAATGAGTCATTGATGTCCCTTTTTAAGAACAAGGGTATAAGCATCTATTGAAACAAGTAGTTCAGTTCAGTCTCGGCCGTAAGCAGTCAGGAAGTGGTACATTTGGTTGCAGCGTCTAATCTGAAGTTAGCAAGTATAGGTAACGTCCCTTTCTTGATAGTGTACTGTAAATTTTGGCGAGGTTATAGTCACACCAATGTAAATCAGAAGGCAGAGATATGTTTCAAGTGTTATTAACCTCTAGTCTGAGTATCTGTACCATGGATGGTCTGGGTACAGTGTACCAGGGAAATACTAAATATCAGCAAAAATATGAGTACATTCTACCCTGGAAACACTAAATGTCAGCTAAAAAATTGCGAGTCAATATTTTTCTCAAATACTAAATGCCACAAAAAGATGTGAGTATATTGTACCATGGAAAACTAAATTGCCAGCTAAAAAAATAGGTCTCGCCTGGATTTGAAACCAGGTCACCAGATTCAAAGTCTGGAGTGCTAACCACTACACTACGAAACCATTTGTTGAGTGTGATCCGCCAATTGTTATATTTGTGTCATTTGGCTTAAGACAAAATATTATCTCTCTAGGCCATGCTTCATGTTAAATTTTCTGTCTTTTTGGACCTGCTACCGGTTGCCACTTGGCAGCTAAATGGAGCAAGGCATATCTGATGAATGACTTACTTACTTACTTACGAAGCCTTTTATCCCAAACAAGTTGGGGTAGGCTAGATATGAAACCCTTTCACGAGGACTTCCCAGGAGGTCACCCATCCTAGTACTACTCTCGCCCAAATGGGTTTCATACCCAAAAGACTGGCTAGTTTTTACGTTGGCTCGCCAAGCCTATCACAACCCTTAGATATGAAACCCTTTCACGAGGACTTCCCAGGAGGTCACCCATCCTAGTACTACTCTCGCTCAAATGGGTTTCATACCTATGGGACTGGCTAGTTTTTACGTTGGCTCGCCAAGCCTATCACAACCCTCTTCCTTTACCCGGGCTTGGGACCGGCTATGCCTAGAAGACATAGGCGGAGTTATCTGATGAATGACTTGTTTTATTTTATTTTTCAATTCATTTTAGCCAAGGGCTCCATTGCGTGAGTACGGTCTTTTGTCTGTTTGGGTTGCTATAAGGGTTTTCTAGGTGTTTGATGTACGATAATTTGGAAAAAGTAATGTGGTTGGTCCATTCATTATGACCTTGAAGGATAATTGTTTGATGGGCCAGCTGTGCTATCAACTACAGTACTCGGTAATGGCCATTGCAGTTGCATCTTCATTTTTCACTCACATTGCTAGATTTTTAGTTATTGTACGGGTCTGCATCACATTGCTAGAATAGAATATTAATGAGTTTCTTTTGCGGGTAAATGAGGTGTTGATGTCCCTTTTTAAGAACAAGGGTATACACATCTATGGAAATAGGTAGTTCGTACATTTGTTGCAGCTACTAATCTGAAGTAAGTAACTATAGGTACTAAATGTGCCTTTTTTGATGATGTACTGTAATTTTTTGGCGAGGTTACAGTCACAGGAATCTAAATCAGAAGACCGAGGTATGTTTCAAGTGTTCTTAGCCTCTAGACCATTGTTTTTAAGGCGGTAAGGCGACCTAAGGCGAGCACCACCCATTCTAGCGCCTAGGCGACGCCTAGGCGCCTAAGGCGGACGCCTAAGCGCCTAAGGCAGGCATATTTGTAAGGCGCTGCCCAGGCGCCTTATCGCCTAAGCGTCCAAGGCAGGACGCCTTAAAAACAATGCTCTAGACTATGAGTATCTGTACCATGGAAGGTCCGGGTACATTGTACTAGGGAAATACTAAATGTTAGCAAAAAGGAGGCACATTCTACCCCGGAAACACTAAATGTCAGCTAAAAGATTGGGAGTCGATATTTTCCCCGAACACTAATATGTCATAAAAGATTGTGAGCACATTCTATGCAAATACTATATTGCAAGCTAAAAAAGTAGGTCTCGCCGGGATTCGAACCCAGGTCGCCAGATTCAAAGTCTGGAGTGCTAACCACTACACTACGAAACCATTTGTTGGGTGTGACCCACTAATGGTTATATTTCTGTCATTTGGCTTACAGACAAAATATTTTCCTTTACTCGATGGTTCCTGTTAAATTTCCTTCTGTTCTTTCGGACTTGCTTGCGTTTGCCACCTTGCAGTTAAATGGAGCAAGGAATATCCAATGATACCTTACTTCTATTTTTATTTTGGTAAGGTTGTAGTCACACCAATGTAAATCAGAAGACATAAGTATGTTTCAAGTGTTATTAGCCTCTAGATTGTGAGTATTAGTATACCATGGTAGGTCTCTATACATTGTACCAGGCAAATACTGAATGTCGACAAAAATAGGAGTACATTCTACCCTGGAAACACTAAATGTCAGCTAAAAGATTGTGAGTCGATATTTTTCCCGAATAGTAAAATGTCATAAAAAATGTGAGTTCATTGTAGCATGGAAATCACCCAGGTTGTCAGATTCAAAGTCTGGAGTTCTAACCACTAAACTACGAAACCATTTATTGGGTGTGACTCACTGATGGTTATATTTCTGTCATTTGCCTAACAGACAAAATATTTTCCTTTACTCGATGGCTTGTGTTAATTTCCTTCCAATTTTCTGTATTTGCTTCCATTTGCAACTTTGGAGCTTAATGGAGCTAGGAATATCTAACAAGTAACTTTTTTTAGAACTCATTTTAGCCAAGGGCTTCATTGCGTGGGTACCATAATTTTGTCTCATTGAGCTGCCATTAGGATTTACTAGGTGTTTGAGGTACGATAACTTGG